CTGCTCTGACCTTAACCCTGCCCTGACCCTGTGCTGTCCTGCCTTTGCCCTGCCCTGCCCCTGCCCTGCCCTGACCCTGGTACAGGAGAGTGGGGATCTGGGGAGTAAAGGCCCCAGCCTGCAGACCGGGTACGGCTGTGGGGGCAAAGGCCACAGTGGGCAGGCATGAAGGCCTTGGCCAGCTGTGGCCAGAAGCTGGGGCCTGCTGTGGGACGGTGCTTCTCTGGACAGGGTGGGCCAGAGCCTGCGCTGGGTACCCCGAGAGGCCAGAAAGCCCTGTCCCAGGTGCCCACTGGGAGAGCACCCTGGGRTGCAGTGGTGCCTCTTCAGAGCACAGGAGCTTCCCAGGGGGCAGGGCCGGCTGGCCTGCAGGGCACCGGGGGTGGAGGTGCCTGGGTCAGGTCTCCCAGTAGGGACAGTGCGTCGACACCTCTGGGTTCTCCATGTGCCCAGCAGTCAGGAGGCAGAATGCCYGAGGCAGGCAGGACAGGAAAGGGAACCAGGGCCGGGTCAGTTGTCCCTAGGGGACTGTGCAGCCAGGCTGGGAACAGGGTGGGCAGTGGTGGTGCCTCTCTGGGTGGACGTCTGCCCTGCCACTGTCCTGTTGTCCTGGACCCTGGCTCTGGTTTCTACGGCTGCCCCTCCCCCAACCCCCCCAACTGGTGGCCTGCGGCCCCTCCATCTTGTCCAGTCCACAGTCCTCACTGGAGAAGGGCTCTCCCCACCCCACCCAGCCCCTCCCCAGGTTCCAGACCCCTGATCTGGGTGCTGGGGAGAGGACGGCCGGCATCYTCTGTCACAGGCATCCAGGTCCCTGGGTTTAAAATGCAGACCTCCCACCTGAGGGCCAGGAGCCGCGTCAGGCAGGAGGTGGGTGGTGGGCACAGGCCTCTCCACTGCAGCCTGGGTGGGCCTCTCCTAATGAGGCCTAGTGGGCGGGTCTGAAAGAGCCGGGTCCCATGGCCGCCAAGGCTAGCAGGTGGGCAGTGCAGGACCCTGGCCGCAGCATCCTAGGGAGTCTTCGTGGGGCTGTGCTCCTCAAGGCTGGGGTTGCCTCCCTGCGCAGGGCCGTCCACTCCCCTCTCTGGGCCTCTAGGAGAGGGCATCGGGGTCCAGTCCTGGCTGGGCCTCACTGAGACTGGGACCTGGAGGGGCACCACTCCAAGGCTGCCCGAGAGCCGCTCCTGGGGCTCCCTCTTGCTGGGGAAGCCCCCACGAGGGACCTGAGTCCCGGAGCTGGCAGTGCCTTTGGGGGCATTAGAGACCGGGAGGCTTGGGATGAGAAACCTGGAGGATCTGGCCCAGGACAGGGGCCTGTGGGAGTGGCTGGGCAGCCAGGGAGTGGGCAGCAGGGAGTGGGTGGCCCCTGGTTGTTGGCTGCCTGTGATCTCTGCTCTCTGCTCCTGGAGGGCTGGGTCCCYGGCTTGGCCTCACCCACCAGCAGTCTGCAGGGGTGGGGGCTTGGGCAGAGAGGTTGGGGACCCCTGCCTACAGGAGGACCCCCGTTTACATGGTCTTGGTGATACAGGACCTTGAACCCAGGTACAGGCAGGGGTAGCTTCGGGATGTGTGCCCAGAGCCCTGGGGCCACCTGTGCTGCCTGATCCCTGCCTGGGACTGCTGGCCTGTGCAGCTGGCTACTCTGCTGACCAGTTCCTCCAGATGTCAGGCCCTGTGGGCCCTGGGGTCCCTTCGGAAGTTGGTGACTCTTGCTTTGGGTCATTTGTACTCCGCCCCCTTCCCTGTGGGGATGAGGTGACATCTCAGCCCCTGGCTAAGGAGGGGTGGGGTGGCGGCCAGTCTTCCTTTCCCATGGTACCATCACAAAACAGGGCCACACCCAGGGCCCAGCTTCCCGCAAGCCCCATCCCAGGAACAGGATCTCCTGGGCCCAGAATCTGGCGCAGCCCCCGTGGACCTGCCCAGGAGAGCTGCGCCCCTGCCCAGCATCTTTYTTGAGCAGCTCAGAGCAGCGCTCGGCCAGCCTACGCCCAGGGTCTGGGTAGGGTGGACGGRGAGGGGGGAGCCGGGGCTGTGGGCCTGCGTGCTGAGCCCCAGCCACTCCTAGTGACCTCCATGCTCTCTTGTGGTGCCAGCTGTGGTGTCGGGGGTGACCACTGTGAACACAGGTAGGGTGCTGCTTTCCTGAGTGCCCTTGGCCTGCCCTGTGTGTCCTGGGAGGCCCCAGCAAGCCAACCAGGTCAGCGCCCTCGGCCCCTGCCCGGCTTCTTGGGCCGCCCCAGGCTGCTGTGTGCTCAGCAGGGTCCCTCAGTCTCCTCCAGGGACACAGCCTCAAGGTCACTTTGACCTCCAGGGTGCGGGTCCAGCAGCCGCTGCTCTCTGCCTTCCTGTGGCCTCCTTGCTGGCCACTGGACCCTGCAGTTCCTCTCCATGGGGAGGCCACTGCCCTGCCTCTCCCTTCCTTCCTGGGCTCCCAGCCCTGGCTGCAAGGCTTCTGTGAGCTCATGACTCCCGGTTATTTTTACATCTCCAGACGCCTGTCCAGCTGCTGCCCCATGTCCAGTGGGTTTCTCAGCCTCTCTCATCCAGGAGAGACCCCCATCCTGGCCCCCGGCAGCCTCCCAGGCATCCCTCCCCCCAGATCCACAGAGGCCCCTTAATCCCTCACCCTCATCTCCTCTCATCCTAGAGGGCCTGTGGTCTCCTGTCCAGAGGGCTGGGAGAGCGACGTGGCCAGCGCCACGGTGTGTGCAGGCCTCTCGCCTGGGGGCAGGAGCTCTGGGGCGGCAGTCACGCCAGGCCACACAGAGGCTCAGAGACCAGCCAGCCCAGCCTCTGGGCCCAGAGCCTTGGAGCTCTCTGGAGCCAGGACCCTGACCAGCTGCCTGCACTGCAGACCACTCTGCCTCCCTTTTTCCAGTGCTTCCCGGCCCTTAGGCCCTGAAGAGGCCATGCTGCCTGCCTCTGGGATGCACTGGCCATTCCCTCTAAGACAGCACTGTTTCCTGTGGAGCTGCTGGGCTGGGCCTTCAGCCACCAGCCCACGCACAGGTGGTCCCTGCCCCTCCTTGTACAGCACTTTGCTGATGATTGTCCTGGGTGCTGACTTGTCTGTGTCGCTCCTGGGACAGCTCTGTGGGAGCTGGGCTTCGCGGCTCAGGGCTGCAGGAAGGCCCAGGCCAGGACGAGGCAGGGCACAAGGGGGCTATGAACCGTGGGTGGGCCCTGGGGCCCGGGTGGGGAATGACCCAGCCAAGCCCACTCAGTGTTGCTGTCTCTTCACTCCCAGCCCAGCTGGGTGTCCACCTTGCCCACCTGCCCAGGGCAGAAGTTGTGGGTGGAGGGCCCGGGGTCAGTCACTTGCCTTTCAGCCCCGAGTCCTTTAGGCTTCTGTGCTGAGGGCCTGGCGGTGGGGCTGCTGCTGGCCGCCCTGTGTGGGGACTCCCAGAGGCCTCAGTGGCCAGGCCCAGCTCCCAGCTAGTGCCTGGACCCTGGAGCTGGGCTTTCTCCAACTTTCAGGGGAAAAACAGAGGCTCAGAGGCTGAGGACGGGGTAGGCAGGTGGGGGCTGAAACCTGGTCACCTGCCCCTCGGGGATTGAACTCAGAGCCACAGCCCAGCCCTATTTGATATTTTTTAAATTTAGAGACAGGGTCTCACTGAGTTGCTTAGTGCCTCCCTGTTGCTGAGGCTGGCTTTGAACTCGGGATCCTTCTGCCTCAGCCTCCCAAGCCGCTGGGATTACAGACATGTGCCATCCTGCTTCGTGAGTGAGCATTTTTGTGAGTGTGTAAGAGTGTGCAATTGTGTGTATGCCCAGGTGTGCATGGGAGTGTGTGTGCGCCTCTGTCTGCCGATGCTGTGACAGCCACCCAGCCCCGGTGGCCAGTGAATGACGGGATCCCTCCTTACCACGGGCTCTTGCCCAGCAGGGGCTGCTCTGGTTCCCAGCTGGCACCTCCTGGCTGCCTCTCCCTCACCCGGGGAAGGGGTCCTCAGGTCCTCCCTCACAAGCCCCCCACTGAGGCTCTGCCCAAAGCCCCGCCTCCAGATACCTCAGTGCCTGAGCGGGCACAGACATTCAGCCCACTGTGGGTGTGCCCCTGTGGGCGTGGGTGGCCAGGGCTGGGCCCTGGGCCTCATCCTTGGGCTCTGCCCTCCAGGGTGACCCCAGAATCCTGCACCCAGCCTCAGCTGAAGTGCGTTGAGGGGCAGACTCAAGTTGGCCCGCTAGACAGAGCCCAACCAGGACAGGCCGAGATCTGCAGGGGGCTCCACGAGGGTGGGGTCCTGCGCAGACTTAACGTCCTGGGGGGRGGCAGACCTGCTCCGCAGCCTGGGCACAGGCAGGGTTCCCTGGGGGTGGGCAGGTGCCCTCTCAAGCCCAGCACCGCCTGTTTGTAAATAAAGCTTTATTGGAAGCAGCACAGGGGACGCAGCCTGGCTGCCTGTGGGTGGTGGTGAGGGGCTGCCGGGCTGCCTGTGCCTTTCTTGGTGTTCTGGTGATGGGACGGGGACATTCCCATGAGAACTCACTATTGCGTTGCCCGGGCATTGTGGTCCTGCCTGGGATCTGGCCTGCAGGCATCCTGCTGGCCCTGCGAGGGGAAAGGTGGCCTCTGTGGGTTCTGGTTCTCTTCACCTGGGGGCCCTCCTTCTCCATGTTGTCAACACTGAGGTGCCAGCGAAGGATTCTCCAGTAGGCGGCGGAAGCCCCGCTGCCCACAGGCCTGTGTTTGAAAGTGACCCTCCAGGTGGGCACAGGGGCCACTGGCCTGCACTCTTCTGTCACCAGGAGGACAGCTTTGAGTAGTTGACACAGAGACCATGTGGCCTGCAAAGCACAGACTGTCACCCTCTGGCCCTCACAGAGAAAGCTTGCTGGCTGTAGGCCTCTGGTGGTGTCCCTCGCTCCAGGCTGGGACTCTGGTCCTGGTCCTAGAAGCTGGGCYGGGAGGGAGGCAGGTGGAGCTCAGGGCTGTGTGGGGGACTCTGCCGCAGCGGTGTGGGCGTCCCCGTCATCTGGGGCCTGGGGTCTCAGGTGGGTTTGCTGGGCCGGTTAAAGAGGAGTGTCTGCTCCCAGGGGCTGAGCCGGCACCGCCCTGTCCTGGCTGGGCACCTCCGTCCCCCTCTCCTGCAGGYGGGCGAGGGGCTTGACTCCTTGAGTTTCATGTGGGATCTGGGGTCGTGTCAGTGCGAACGTGTTTGGTGTTTGCATTAGGTCCCTAGGCCGACACCCTCCTCCAAGACTGGGCACTCTGGGGTCCTGGAGCTGTGGGGGACCTGGGTGGGCACGGGCCACGCTGAGCAGTGGCAGTGTTGGCAATGACAGGTCGATGGAGACCCGAGTGTCCTGGAGGGGCCAGGAGGTGAGACTCAGGCCTGTCCCTGCAGCCAGTGGACAGGTGGAGGCCTGCCGTGCTGCTCGGGTGGGACCCATGGTCCAGTGACACTCCTCTTCCTCCCCAGGGCTGGGCTCAGGCCAYAGCCTGGGAGCCAAGAGAATGGAGGGGAAGCAGGCGTCGGTGCATCAGGCCTCAGAGCAGGGAGGAGGCCCACGCAGCTGGGCAGGCACTGAGCCTGCTTCCTGAGTCAGGGACCACAGCTCCTGCAACCCAAGGCCAGGGTGGGCTCACAGGCCTGGGCAGAGTGGTCATCGGGTGGAGTCGAGGCCCAGCCACAGTGATAAGGGGGCTTGCTGGTCATTCAGGAGGGGGTGGGGTGGATGWATGGCTTTCTTGGTCACATCTTAAGCCCCAGTCTCTTTCCAGCTGTGCCATGTCCTCCCAGGGGGTGCTGAGGATGGGGGCAGTGGGCAGTGGCATCTTGGTGGACGCTCCATGGCCTCTTGCCTCCTCTGCAGATTGCCTGCTCATGCTGGCCTACAAGGACAAGTCCGACCGTGCCAAGGGCCTCCGGGAGCGCAGCAGCCTGACCCTGGAGGACATCTGTGGCCTGGAGCCTGGCCTGCCCTATGAGGGTCTAGTCCACACGCTGGCCATCGTCTGCCTGTCCCAGGCTGTCATGCTGGGCTTTGACAGCCGCCAGGCCATGTGTGCCTGGGATGCCCGCATCCGCTATGCGCTTGGTGAGGGTGAGTGCCCAGATGGAGGCCCCGGGGAGGGCTTCCCACACAGTGCTGGGGCCCTCTCCCACGTGGACTGCAGGGGCAGACAAGACCCAGAAATGCACACAAATGAAGGGAAGCTAGTGGACACCTCAAACGTTGTCCTGCTGGGCCTTGAGCTCTGTGCTCTGGATGAGGGGTCCCGGAGAGCCAGACCCTGCCTGGGGGTGATCAGACCAAGGATTGGGGTGGGATTCTCTGGGGCTGCAGGGTTGGTAAGCTCCCTGGCTCAGCTCCTTTGGTCCAAGCTGCCACCCATCATCTCCCAAAGTCCCGCCCTCGCTTCCTCCTGGGCCATGTGAGCCTGGGCTGTGCAGAGCAGAGCCACCAGCCCCCCGGGAGCCAGTGTCAGGGTGGGAACAGTCTGGGCAGGGAGGAGGGCGGTGGCTGAGTGGCCAGTGGACAGGCAGTGAGCTCATGTGCCTGAGGCACAGCTGCCCACAGAGGTGGTTCATGGAGCTGGGCCACCCTGGGAAAGGGCACCTGGAGCTGGGGCCCTGGGGCTCTGCAGTGTGGAGGGGAGGCCTGAGCCAGGCCCCTGGCGAGGCATGGGCCTTGGGCACTGAAGGCCCCAGTGACGAGCACTACAGCCTCTCAGGCCTTGTTCTCTGAAACACCAAGACCGGGGCCACCCGTCCAGGTGAGCCCCTCCAGGGTGAGCCAACTCCAGGCTGTCGGCCACGGCAGGCTCTGCCGTCCGTCTGCACACCTGGTGTCCTTCCTGGCTCTCTGCRGGACTTCAGTTCTCACATACCACAGTCACACTTCAAGGCCCACCGTGAGCTGCCCGCCCTGCCCGACCTGAGGCCAGACCTGGGGCCTGGCTAGARGACCCTGCCTTCCCAGGAAACTCCCGGTGGGGTTCTGGCGTGGCTCTGCCAGGGCCCATTATCTGGGTGGGGCAGTGCCCACCCCACTGGGGAGGGGGCTGCCCAGGCACCTGTGGAGACACCCTGAGAGGAATCCTGAAGAGAGCGGGGGGTGGGCTCCGGGGGATGGTCAAGGCCACAGCCTGGAGGAGCTGGGGACCCTGTGGCTGTGGGGAAGGAGATGGGGTGGGCTGGGGCCAGGGGTGGGCACCCGCAGGCYGAGGACCGTCACTCAGGGCGCGGTCTACTTTCTGAGTGGGGTGGCCTGGGGAGAGAGGGAGGCGGGAAGAGCTCACGGCTGTCCTCGTCTCAGGAGCTTCCCCCAGGGGAGGAGAGGGGACCACCATCCAGAGAGGAAGGTTCGTGGCCTCCTGAGCACCCACGGCCAGGCTGGCCTCCAGCGCAGGCTACAGTAGATGGTCCCCACCTTCCACACGCTGAGCCTCAGTCTCCCAGTCCACGGCTGCCAGGGCGGGGCCGTTCCAGGGAGTGCACCGYGCACAGGTCCTGACCCCGTGCTGATGGGCCCTGTCCTCCCCGGAGCCCCCTGAGGCCATGACTGTGTGGCTGGGGGCGGGGTGCCAGAAGCCAGGCCCCTCCCAGAGCTCACCCTAGGCAGCCCCTGAAAGATGGGAGGGGAGGTCAGTGGGCCATGGCAGGCAGCCCACTGCCTCCTGCTGTCCAGCTGGGTGGTCCCCTGGCCAGGAGAGCACCTGCGGGGCCTCCCCTGCCCAGGCCTGGGTGCCACCTACCCACCCTCCCTGGGTGATGCACTTTGCCCCTGCCGCCCCAGTGCACAGGTTCCATGTGACAGTGGCTCCCGGCACCAAGCTGGAGAGCGGCCCGGCCACCCTCCACCTCTGCAATGACGTCCTGGTCCTGGCCAGGGACATCCCTCCGGCCGTTGTGGGGCAGTGGAAGCTGCCTGACCTCCGGCGCTACGGGGCTGTGCCGAGTGGATTCATCTTCGAAGGCGGGACCAGGTGTGGCTACTGTAAGTACGCGGTTGCGTGGGGCCCAGCACGGGGGTCCGCCTGGGGCCCCACTCAGGAGGCCTGGCCCTGGGGCTGCTCTCCTTCCTGTGGTGCCTGGGTCTCAGAGCCAGGTCCAGAGTCTCAGCCATTCCCGGCCTGTGTGTGAGGTCACTGAGCGGCAGAGCCTCCTGTTCAGATTGAATGGGGAAAAAAAATTAATGGAAGCATTTTGCGAGGGCCAGTGAGCCACCCGTGGGTGCCACATGCAGAAAACACATTGAGGACCAAGGTTCCTCCTGGACCCATCAGCCACTGGCCCCCTGGGCCACCTGGAGCTGTCCTCTGTGCAGTGACGGCTGGATACCCGGGCCCTGATCCATGCTGAGTGACCGGCCAGGAGGGAAGCAGGGCCAGCGTCTGGCCACCAGGTCTAGGGGCTGAGTGGGTGGTGGGTACTGAGGGGGGGTGCTTCACTCAGAGCCTGAGGTGCCCCCTGGGGCACTGTGGGGACAGACCTGCAGGCACCACAGGAGGGAAGAGAACCCTCGTCCCCTCTCCAGAGAGGCTGCTGTCCGTGCTGGCTGCCATGCGGTGTGGCCTCCTGGGGCCTGGGTGACCACAGTCAGCGTGCTCTGTGGGAGGCRTGGGGCCTGGTGAGTGTGGGCCTGGCACCAGCTGGGCTCCCGGGCCCTGATGGGCACCCTCTGGGTGGAGGAGCGTGGGAGTGCACAGCACCCTGCTCCTACTCGGCCGCGTCAGGAGTGCGGTTGGCATGGGAGGTGGGTGGGAAGGGCGTGGCCCTCACCTGGTACTCGTAAGGCACCACCTACCTGGCTCGGTGCGGCTGGGTCCCTGAGGGTTCACTGGCCACCGGCTGCAGCAGCACCTCCATCTCTGGGCAAAGCAAATGCAGATGTGGACGCAGGTGGTGCTGGGTGCTGCCCACTTGGCCCCAAATGGCTCAGACTTGGGGCAGCCTCTTCCTCCTTGGGAGCCCCTTGACGGGGGGGGTGGGGGGTTCTTGGAGCTGCTCCCAGCATCTGAGCAGGGAGACCGTGTCCTTGTTTCTCCGTGGAGCTCCCAGGTATCGGCTGCCACGGTCAGTGGGGGTGCTGGTGAGGCGCCTCCCTCGGGGCAGCGCCAGGCTGTTTCCTTGGAGACCTGCTGGTTGGTCCTGGACAGGAYGGAGTAGGGCCCCCTGGGGTTTTTCCTCTAGACCTCAGAATTTGGAATCCTCTCTCTTGGTGTGGGTAGGCCCCTTTCCCCCAAAACCCACCCAGCATGGACCAGTGGCTCCCGGGGCAGAGGCCCGGCGTGTGGGCTTCCAGAAAACCAGGTGAACTCTGAGGGGAATGTCTGTGCTGCACACAGCCCTGGGTCAGCTCGGCGCTGCGAGAATCTGCCTGCAACTGCGCGGCTGGGTGCCGGGCGGCCTGGCCCCGGCTCCGACACTCTTGGGATTCTGTCTCTCCCAGCTCCAGGCCTGGCTCAGACCCATGGGTCACTGAGAGCTGAGCCCTGGAGTGTGCAGGTCACCAGTGGTGGCTCTGAGGGCAGGCTGAGGGCCCTGCCACTCTGCTCGCTCCTTCCTTCCGGCGGGACAGGCTGCCGGCTGCTCCGGCTGGCGGACTGGGGTTTAGATGCCACAGACTCCCTCGGCCCAGCGGAGACGTGGGTGCAGCGAGGGCTGCTGGTCGTAGCCGAGGGTCGTCACCTGCCACACGTGGGCAGACCTGGCCATCCTGGAGAGGACCTGCAGGCTAGGAGGGCCCTGGGGTTCTGTCCATGTCTTGGGGCTGCTGTAGCAGGTGACCACAAACTCGGTGACCTTCATAGTCTGGGGTCAGAAGTCCCAAATCCAAGGCCAGCAGGACCTGACTTAGGGCTCTGGGGAACAGCCTGCTGAGCTGTGGCCAGGTCACACGGCCTCTGCCCTTGTCTTCTCTGTCTCCCGTAAGGACACTGTCACCGGGTTTAGGGCCCACCTGGGTGCTGCAGGTGGTTTCATCTTGAGATCCCTACCCTAACGGCATCTGCAGGACCCTTTCACATCTTCTACAGGCCCCCATTCAGACACGAGGTCTCTGATTTGAAACATAGCGTCTGTGTCCCTGGAAGAGAGAGCGGGAGAGGGAGGAGGGGTCATCGGAAGCTTCTAGAAGACCCTGGRGTACAGAATCAACATCCTCTCCCTCTCCCGGCCCCAGCCCGGCCCTGTGACCTCCAGGAACCATGCCTTCCGACCCCCACCCAGACAGCAATCCGGAGGGCAGAGGGGACGCTGGCCCCGCGGCTCCTTTTCTCCCCTCTTTACCTGTTTACCCTGGTGGAGGGAGGCTCCTGGCCACACCCCCAGCCAGGCTCCGTGGCGGGCAGCCGAGAGATGGGTCCTGGGGAGGGTGGGCCCTGGGAGACAGGAGACTGCGATCCAGGCACTGGGGTGGAGGGAAGGTTCTTCAGAGAGGGCCATTCAGGAGCCCTGCCAGGGCTKCGCAGGGTCTCGGCACCACGTGGGCCCAGCCAGCCATGGCCAGCATCACCCCGGGGGGCTGACGATCCAGCCACCTGGGCAGATCCCAGGCTGCTCCGAGCTGTGGTCAGAGGCACCTGGGTGCCTGCCCCTCGGGGATCCCACCCGGACGCTCTGGCTGCCTGACTCCTCCTTACAGGGTCCCCAGGGTGAGTTCTCTTGGGTCGGACAGGGCACACCCTTAAGAGGACACTGATCTACTGCCACTTCTAACTAGGGACCCTGTGCCGAGCACCATGTTGCTAGGGTCACAGTCACTTGGCGGTTGGTGGCATATGATAAGGTCATGATCTGAGACCTGTGGTCACAGGTGACTCTGACACATGAAGCACATTTTCATGGTCTCCCTGGGGCCACAGGCTGGGGACTGCCAGAGGAGGGTGGCCGGGAGGGGCAGGGGCTGGCTGTGGCCGGGCCTGGCGTGGGGCCGTCTGGGTGTCAGGGAGGAGCCCCAGCAGGTGGGAGGCCCCAGGTGCAGAGGTCTGGAGGAAGAGGCTGGGGCCAGGAAGGCTCTGACCCCGGCCCCCGGCGCAGCTGTTGGGGCTCCGGGCACGCTGAGCAGGCGGGGACGGGCAGGGAGAGGGCCGGCGGAGGGGGATGGGCTCTTGCTGAGGTGCTGGTCCAGGACAGGGGTGGGAGGGACAGTTTGTTCCTGTGGAACCCCCACCCCATTTGGTGCTCTGCCCTTGGGCCGGGGACAGGTGTGGGTGCCAACCTGCCGTACACAGCCCTGCCTGGCCCCTTGCCCTGAGCCGTGGAATGACACTAGAGAAGGAGGCTCTCTGTGTAGGGTGGTAGCCCTGCTGACTCAGGGCTCTGGGCTCTGGACCCCTGCTTTGTCCCCACGTTTGTCTTCTCTGCCGGGCTCTCAAGAGTCCACCAGGCCTAGAGCTGCCCGGCTGCCCTCTGTGGCAGCCCCGCTGAGGGCCCCCGTGTCCAGGGGGTCTTCAGAGACATCCCACTGGGCAGACAAGGACACTGCGGCCAGGGCAGCCTGGGTGTTCAGGGGGCGTTTGACATGGGCAGGCCATGGCTGCCCCAAGTCTCTGTGACTGCCCAGAGGTGTCCCTGAGCCCCAGGACAGCACTGTGGTGGCTGCCCCTTCCCCAGAGTGGCTTCTGTCTATGGTGAGCCTGTGCTGGCGGGGGGGCCAGCCCCCCTCCCCGTCCCTCTCGAGGAACACARGGCCCTGCTGGGAGCAGGACCAGCTGCCGGGAGTGCGGACACCTGCCGGCTACCGTGGCCCTAGGGCCGGTGGGCTGCAGTCTGACTGCTCTGGCAGAAGGCGGCCTGAGGGGCAGGCCGAGTGTCCCCCTGCCCTCAAGAAAGGCTGTGTAGCCTCCGGGGGCTGTGTGGGCCGTGCACCCGGCTYGCGTCTTCAAGTGTGGGTCAGGTGTGGACACAGAGCCCCGTCGCATCGGGTTCAGAGCTGCTGTGCGACTGGTCTGAGCATCCACTGGCCTCTCGGGCTCTCTGGGCTTCGCTGTTTCCCTAGCATGGATGCTGGGGGGATGAGCTGTGCCCACAAAGCGCCAGCCTGCGTTCTGACCTTATGATTATGTGGCAGACCCTCAAGCCAGCCCCTGAGGGACTGACAAGACCCTCCGTCACCTCGGCCCCTGGGTGGCTCCACTCCAGGGTCACTTTTCAGCCTCCCAGGTGTCTGGAGTGGCCCCTGGTGCCTGGATGGTGGTCTCTGGCTAAGGGGGCTCTGAGCTCCTGCATCACTCCTGSGCGTGGCTGAGACAGGCCCCGGCTCCTGTCCCACTGCAGGGGACGGCACCCACACCTGCCCAAGGCGGGCCACTTGTCCTCTGTGGAGGATGGGCTGGGAGCAGGCCCTTGGGAGACACAGGGAACAGTAAAAGCCAGGCCCAGCTTTGGCTCCTGAGGCAGGCAGGCCACCCTGGTCAGCAGGGTCCAGGAGGCCCCCAGCCGGGCAGGGTCTTGGGCTGGCACTCCGTGCTGTGCTCAGGGAGGAAGCACATGGTTCGGAGTCATCGTCATCATGAGTGCAAGCTTGTGCCTGGCATCTGGAGGGGACTGTGGCCTTCGTCAGCAGAAGGGGAGCGTCCCTACCTGCTCTCAGGCCAGGGACAGAGCAGRGCCAGCAGGCTCTTGAGACCCTGCAGCCTGACCCCTGGCAGGGAGCACCACAGCCGCTCCTCGGGGCTGGAGCCAGGGCGGCTGGCGCTCTGCTCCGCCTGTCCAGGCCCTGCCCACCCCGGCTTTGTCTCCCCACCTTCACAAGGCAGCAGCCACCCTGCGCCTGTGGGCCCCACGGCCTGCCTCAACTCTGGGGTCACTCGGTCACTCGGAACGCAGCATCGGGCAGGCGGTGGGCTGYAAGGGCCAGGGTGACTGCAGCAGGGTAGGCGGCCACTGGTGGGACGGCTGGTTCTCAGAGGGCACTGGGGGCCGCGGGCCACTCTGATGTGGTCCCTGTCCGCCAGGTGTCGGCCTTGGGTTGGGACTATGGACAGAYGAAGCGCCTTGTGGGGAAAAGTGCTGGGTCCCCCGAGCGTCCTGAGTGAACTGCTGGCTTCCCGAGAGGGGTCTGGGCTGGGGACGGGCATCGGACRCTCTGTGACCTGAGCCTCAGTCCACGGAGGTCCAGGAGGCCAAGGGGCCGAGTGAGTCCACCTCCTGGTGGGGGTGACAGGARCCTGGGCGTGTTTGTGGGGTGGGTGGCGAGAGGGGGCTTCACAGTGGCTGGTGGCAATTGTCCCGGGAGGCCTGGCTCTGTGGGCGCAGGTAGACTGGCCCTCGGAGATGGATGTCCTCCAGGCCCCTGGAGTCAGCCCTGCCGCCACGGTGGGGTAGCTAGTGGGACTGCCACATGGGCACTTGGGGCCCGGACTGGCGGCTGCTGTGCACAGGGCCTGCCCAGTGACGTCTCCTGGGGGCGGGACTCTGCAGGCTGAGTGGACACAGGACTGGCTCACCCTTCCGTAATGTGGCTTTTTATAGTCAGGGCACTGAGTGTCCTGCTGCCGGGCCAGCTGTCGGGGAGCTTGGGATTAGAGGCCAGGCCCGCTGTGAGGGCGGGGCCAGGCTGGCCGAGCCTCATGCGGGTGGGGTGGCGAGGGAGCAGAGTGCCAGGGAGTGGGCCCGTGAGATGGCCTGTGTGTGACCTGCTGGCCTGCCCTCCTGGGGTTCGTTCCTGTTCCACTGCCCAGCTCGCAAGTCCTATTCCTCAGAGAGTTTCGGAGTCAGTGCATTGTCCCCCCRGGAGGGTATCGAGGAGGGCACCATCTCAACCCCTGTCACTCTGCTGGTCAAGAGCAGCCCCTTGCCCAAAGCAGGACTAGAAGCTTGTGGTGCCAGGTACTGCTCAGTGGGCCCGCTGACCTGGGCTTGCGTCCACCTGGGTTGTGACCTTGTATAAGTGGCTTGCTCTCTCTGGGCCCCAGTCTCCTCATGTAAAGCAGGAACGGTACCGTTATGTCTCCTGATTGGGGCATCACGTGATGAAGCGTCCACAGTTGTGGGGGCTGCTCTCCCCTGCATACCCTTGCATGGTCACCTAGAGGCCCGGGAGCCCTGGGGGTGGGCCGAGTCCCTGGACCTCACGGCCCACGTTCAGTGAAGGCAGGGAGCCACTGGGAGGCAGAGCTTTGAACACAGAGGGCTGCACTGCCCCTGCCTGGTCCTGCGCTGCGTGAGAGCTGGCCTGCGCAGCTTTGAAGGCCTCTCTCTGGGCCCTGGGCAGAGGCTCCAGGGGAGGGCTTCTCCGGTGACATCTGTGCCGAGTGTCCACTCCACGTGCCGGGGCTCAGCAGGTGGGTGCCGCCAGCCTGGCCTCCCATTCACGCGGCCAGCGAGGGATTCCATTCAACCTTGGCCGGCTGGGCGCCTGAGCCAGGGCACGTGGCCTGGGGCCTCCCTGCTGACTCACTGCCCAGGCCTCTCCTGGGTGTGGAGGCCCGGAGCAGGTCCTCCGCCCAAGTGACCCCAGGCTGATGGCACGGGTCCTTCCTTCTACTGAGTGGGCAGCAGGGGAGGCAGCCCAGGCACAGCCATGGCCTCAGGTGCAYCTTCCTATGACAAGGCTGGGGAGAAGGGAGGCGGCTCACTGTGGGGAGGTCAGCGCTGGCCACTTGAAGGCCGTCTGTGGGGCAGATGCCTTCCGTGTGGGTGAGGAGCTGAGGTGAGGGCCACTGGTGTGACTGGGGTCAGTGGTGGCCATTCTGGGATGTGAGCCCCGCTCCTGGACACCCGAGGGAGCCCTGACTGGACACGCCTCCGCCACTCAGAACCACTCTGGGAGGGGCCTCTGGTCTTCTGGTKCATTTGAGGAAACCGAGGCACAGAGGGCTGGAGCTGACCACTCAACTGCCTGTGGCCAAGGGCGGCTTGAGGCGGCCTGGGTGGAGGGACGCATCCTTGGACTGTGCGTCCAGGGCAGGACACCTCGTCGRTGCAGGATTACTGTGCACCATCTGCGCAGCGAGGCCTGGGAGAGGGTGCCCCCGAGCTGCCCTGCTGTGTCCCCAGGCAGTGCCCAGATGCAGCCACAGCCCCGGGCCCCGGGGATGGCCCTGTGGGGAGCCCTTCAGGCCTGGTGCCTGCAGCCTGTGGCTGCTGTGACAGCATGTGTGTCTGAAGTGTGCGTGGGGTTCCTGGGTGCAGAGGGACAGGTCCAGGGCTCTGGGGACGTGGCTTCACAGGCCAGGGGAGCCRGGTCCTGTGGGTTCTGACTGGATGTGCAGACCCTGTGCCCACTCTGCCAGGGTGCCCCCGGCCCGTGCTGGGCCAGGCTGACCTCGCCTCRCTGTTCTCCTTCTGCAGGGGCAGGGGTCTTCTTCCTGTCCTCCGCCGAGGGAGAGCAGATCAGCTTCCTGTTCGACTGCATCGTCAGAGGCATCTCCCCCACCAAGGGCCCCTTCGGGCTGCGGCCAGCCCTCCCAGGTGTGTGCRGGAGTGTGGCCTGGTGAGGTCAGATGGAGAGGCCATGCTTGGGGTGGGGCCACTGGTGTCCAGTGGCCATCCTGACTCAACCCAGTTAGTTGGCCTGGGTTGTGCCACCATGCTGCTGGGCAGCCTGGGGTTCTGAGGGGTCAGCTAATGTGTCTTGGGGTGTGGATCACACCTGYAGACCCTTCCTCCATGGGCTCTGAGCCACTGGGACAGTAGTTGGKGCAGTTTGGCCACAGCTGCCCCTGGCTGGACGGTCACAGGGCTGTGGAGGCCGCCCCCATGGTGCATCGAGGAGTCTTCCTGAGGTCACTGGCTCGTGGGCAGCTGATCTGACTCTGTGGCTCCGGGTTAGGAGGCGGGAGCAGCCCGGAGGTTGGCTGGGTGTGGGTCTCAGGGTGGGCAGTCAGGGTGGGCAGTCAGGGTGGGCACCAGGGCTGCACTAAGCAGGCTTCTTGTCCCTCCGCGCTCCCTGCTTGCTGCTGGGTGTCCTGCTTCAGCAAGACTCTAATCAGGGATGTTGCTGGGTCAAGTGGCCACATGGTCCAGGTACTGAGGGGCCCAGAGCAGGGTTGGGCTCCTTCAGGGTCCAGCAGGTCCGGGCAGGATGAGCTCTGGCTCCCCTGGCCCCAGCAGGGACAGCCCTTGTCCATGATCTAGCTGTAGCCACATGGTGGGCAGAGAGCTCACGTTGGCTGCCCCGTCCTGTGGGCAGGAGAGCAGAGGTTCCCACGAGGACTGAGTGGCAACAATGAGCTGCCCACCCCGGAGCAGCTGCAGGTGGGGAGCTGCTGAGGAGSCCGGGTGCCCAGGCCAGAGCCCTTCCTGCTTCCCTGGGGCTCGCCTGGACAATGCAGCAGCGCCACCTGCTGGTGTCCTGCCCTGAGGTTGCAGGCAGACCTGAGTGGTGTGTGCTCAGGGCCTGGAAGTGGACAGTGCATCTCCCCCAGAGGCCCTGCTATCCTGCTCACAGGCAGCAGGTCTGCCAGGTGCCCTCAAATCTGGACGTGGGGCTCTGTGGCTGCCAGGGTCCTGGTTCAGGAGGGACTTGGGCTTCGGTGGGCTGGCTGTGGGCAGCAGGTGCGTGGGACCCGCGAGGGATGACACCCCGCCTGGGTGGGAAAAGGCTCCTGCCTCCCAGGTTCAGAAAACACACAGGTGATGGACAAGGGTCAGCAGGTGGCGAGGAGCCTGGGGTGCCAAGCAGGGCTCAGCCCAAGCGCCCCAGCACAGCGGGCAGCCACAGGGCTGGAGTGGCGTCTCACTGAGACAGAGGGGGAGCCCTGTTGGGAGTGGGTGCAGCAGACCAGGTGAGCAGATCTCTTGTGGAATGGGGTCGGCAGGACAGAGAGGGCCCGTTGTTTGGGAGAGAGCCTGATACCTTGGTGGGGTGGCGAGGGAGTGCAGCTGGCTCAGAGGGCTGTTCATGGACAGGGGACCCAAGCTGGAGATTGGGGCTGTCCATAGGCACAGGGGCCCAAGGTGGGCAGAGGGATGACTGTCCCAAGGGGCCCAGGATGGGCCACAGGGACCTGACGGGGCATTCTGTGGGTAGTGCCTGGAGCTGGGGTTGCAGTGCAGGAAGATCTGGGGCTGAAGCTGGCCACCTCTGCTGCAGTCTGGCCGGGCACAAATCACGAGCCACTCAAGCAGGAACAAACTTTATTTTCCGAACTCCCGCAAACGCCACCCACGCGGCCCTCTTAGGCACACCACACACCAACCAGAACTCCCTGGGAACTCTCCCAGACCCCCACCGGGCTGCGCGTGCACTCACTCCAACGGGAACTCCAAAGTAGCGGGTCAGTCAGCAGGGGTCTATATACAATTGAATCAATCCAGCATCATCTTAATGGCGCCCTCT